TCACACTTATATGAATATCAAGCTTTGCAGTAAGGTATATATCAATTCAATTTATTGTTTACATGTAAGTTTAATGGATATAAAATCGAAACAAGCGGCAGTGATACAATTGACACCACCGCGGTGTCAATTGTAACAAGTCGCAGCGATGCCATTAATGATAAATATCATTTATAATTTGTTACTTTTTTAAATATCTATTAAGTTGAAATTAATGCCAAAGGATATATTTGTTTTCATAAAAAATTTCAATTTTTTCTTATTTATAATAAATTGGTTAGCTGCAAAAAAATATTTTTTTTGTTTCAACCGACACCACTCTCCCTACAACTGCTCGCATAGCTGAGATTCAACTTTCAGGGATCATTTATACCTACTGGCTGTAACCGTGTGCCGCATGTCGTTATTTACAAGAATTGATTGATCCAGCATTCCTCTCTTATAACTGAATGAGAGGGGAATACTCGAATGTGATTAATCAATTCTTGCAAATTACGGCATACGATTACGGCCAATATAAATGATCTCTTACTCACTGTTAGACAGAACGACGCAATTCGCAATTGTAAAAAAAGGGGATGGCAACAAAGAGCACAAATTAAATAAAGAATAAAAAAAGGTTATCATTTTGTACTCTTTCCCCTTTCATTAGTAAAAAATATATACCACACCCACGGGCGATGTAAGAGAATTGCCGGCCCTGTATATATCTAAAGTCTTCATGTGTGAGATACAAGAAAATTGCGTAAAACCATAGACGTAACAGGTATATACATAGACTACGCGTTTGCTATTTTAAAATAACATTTCTGCATCTGTGTACTCCGTTAGAAAGAGAACACAATGTTGAAATGCATCATAGTGCATCTCTCTCTCTCTCTCTCTCTCTCTCTCTCTCTCTCTCTCTCTCTCAGTATTTCTCTTCAATTCACTTTGAGTGGGGAACGCGATGAAGGCTTAGAATATATGCATATTTACATGCTCTAAGGCCGATATTCATAAGTCAGTTCTTATATTTAAAATCATCTTTTAAGTATAGTCTTAAGGTGATGCTAAAGACTTCTATTTTACCACATTTCCATTCGGTGAAAGATCTCCGTATTGGATGTACGGATTGCAAAAGTATTTATTACTTAAATTAAAGTACGCACAAACAGGACCTCAGCTGCACTGAATTTCATAAGAAAATCGAAAAAAAGTTTAAAATTCGTTAAAAATTCACTTACTTTTAGCTCGTACAGCTGTCACCTCAGATATATATTTGCTTGATATAAGAGTTTTAGAATCCATATCTTGAAAATAAGCGTGCAGCTGAGATCACATTATTGAAACGAACGATATCGAGTTTATAGAATCAAGAAAGTCCAGAAAAGAAATATTTTCACCGAGTAGAAAATACGTGTATACAAGTTTGCGTATTTTGCGAAGATTGGGACTGTCGACAGAGCCGAAATTCCGTATAGCAGTAGTTGCGCGGTCTTACGATAGATGATGCTGGCATATGTTAAATAAGAACAGATGTATGCGTTTAAGTAAGACAGAATTATATATATAATATTATATATAATATATATAATG